TTAATTAGAAAAAGTTGAGTAATTGTTTAAATGTGGGGCTCCAATTTCTTTTAGCCATAGAAACCAAAAAGACAAGTGATCTGACGCTTTTCTTTCATTTTATTTGTCTTCGCGGCAGATTTATGAATCTGCAGTCAAAATATTTTAAAAAAATTTGTTTTCACTAAAATTTTTTAATTATAAAATTGAAAAAATACCTATTTGTCTTGTAATAAATAATATGGTACTCTACAAATGAATCCCTTGAAAATTTTTATGGAAAACAAAATGAGTAGGAATTTTTTAAATTATTCAATTGCAAAAATAAACATGGATATATGAAATTTAATAATTTTTCTATAAATGATTTGTAAATTCGCCGTGAAGAACGAATTAAGAAAAAAAAGTTTTCGATGGCTTATTATTCGTTTTTTTTGGCTTAAAAAAACAGTGGAGTCCCTTACATCAAAAAAATTATTAAATTTTTATTAAAATATATTTTTTATCTTACTTTCTATATCATAATCAGCAAACTCAACATTCTCGATCCCTTCTTGATCATCGTTATCATGAACTTCTGCTTCAACTGAAAAATAAATGACGTTCAAAATAAATAACAGCTTAAGAATTGAGCTTTAATAAAAAATCAAACAAAAAAAGTCGAATATAATTTAGAATGATTTTTTAACATATAATAGAATTTAATAAATATTTATTAACAGTTAATAAATTATTTATTAAATGTTAATAAATATTTGCTAACAGTTAACAAATATTTATTAACAGTTAATAAGTAATTTATTAAGTACAATTTATTAACTGTTAATAAATATTTATTAATGGTTAACGAATATTTGTTAACTATCAATAAATACTTATTAACTATTTATTAATTTACTTTCCTCCCAAATAAATAGTTATTGAATGTTAAAAAATATTTATTAAAATTTAATAAATTAAATAATTGTCTTCAAATAAATTAAATTATTAATAGTTAATAAATCCTTCTATCAGTGTTGAAAAAGCTCAAAGTGACTTTAATATATACCTTCTTCCGGTAATTGGGGGTAAATATTCAATTGTTCATCTTCCATGACTTCTGCATGGTGAAGAATATCATGATAATGATCAACCTGGTAAGAAGCTGCAGTCTTCAAAAATTGTAATAGTGTTATTTTCGACTTCTTTAAAGTCTTCCACAGGTCGATCATTAAGTTTTTATTGCAGCATAAGCGAACAGATACGGCAGTAGAGATGTATGCATTTTTTTTGTTCTTTATGCGTTCTAATTCTTTACTACATTTGCTGATGATAATTATAAATTTTTCTGTAAATAAGGACAAGATTTAAGTTAAAAAAATCTGTATTCTGTTCTTAGAAATTGGAACGAGACAAAAGGTATAATTAAATACATGTGTGGTGCTATATCAAGGTAAAGAGAGTGAATAAAATAAATGTCACAAGGGTGATACGAATAAGCTGTGATGATAGACTTACAGATATAAAATATTAAAAATATATAAGGCATGTAATATATATTACATCATCTATAAAAATGTAGAATATAAGTTAAAAAAATATGTAAGAAAGTAGATAATGTTAAACAGTAACCCGGAATTAATAAATAATAAATGATAATTATCTAAATATATGAAAATGAAAAAAAATATTATTCCTTCCGGAAATGATCAAGTAAATTAATAGTCTGAAAAATTATTTCTTATGCATCTAAATATAAATCTTATTATCTGAAGAATAATTTTTTAAATTACAAAATCAAATTCTTACCAAAAAATTTCCATAGTGAAGGTTTTTCGCCCATTACATTTTGAAGAGATGTCCAAAATAAGACTGGTACAGTATTTAAACTGTCCGTTTCCTCGAAAAGAGACATATTTGTCGGACCTACCCCTTGTATCCACGTCGTCCTGAAGTACCCAATAAAGTTTGTAAGCTGAACATTTGCATCGTGTGTCAGATTGTTCACCAACTCGTTAAAACCTTCCTCTATTTTCTCATGGGGTAGAAGAATAAGAGAAAAACAGCTTTTTAAAAATTCTTCATGAGAAGCATTAACGATTCTCACATTTTTCTCATAAGACTCATGATATAATATCTACGAACAAAAATAACATCGTAATTAAAGCATATTTTTTTTATAATCTCTTTAAAATAGGTACTTTTATTTTTTATAGAAAACGTAACTTACGCGGCAGTAATTGTTGTAGGTGCCATGAATATTACTTTCGGGAAAAACTTCTTTGACAAAAATTTTTAAATCAAAGTCCACGTAGATTTTTGATAAATTGATACTAGGGAGCAAGAAGAATTTAATCTGACGAAGTATTTCCGGGCAAATTTCTGCGGTTTGTCTAGCCCACAGTACAATCCCAATAAGAAATGCCTAATTGATGAAGAAATTCAATTAATCTAATTACTTTTGTACTTAATAATTTCAAGTCATTAATTTAATTATCAAAAACTATGAAAAGGCTCAATACGTTTCTAATTACTTACATAATGTTCATATTTTCCTAAGATAAAAGTGAGGATACGAGTATTTCCATAAGCAGGAAGAACATTGATGGTAGAACTCATGTGTAATGTATTGAATTGACATGATGCCGCGAATCCAGGGTCCCCAAGTAGTAGCGCATCCTCTCCGACATTACGCAATGTGATAAGTTTATCTGCTGAATATTTTGTCAAACTTATATGCTCTGTAAGAAATTCTACGACTTCGCTCGCTATAAGTATTTAACATCGGCAAGCTGGCAGCCATCTTCTTTTGATGATTACGCATTGCTGGCTTTACCATTTTTAATGTTAATCTTGTTTTAATTTCATCAACGTGACTGAAACAATTATTGAAAAATTTATAAAAATAAAAAACATGAATAAATATTATTTTGCTAGGCATTTATTAATACAAACATTGACTTAATTGAAGAGAAAAAATTTTTGAACTAAGAAAAGTGTTAAAAACATTTTTATTATCATGAAACACACAGAAAAGTTGTTGAAATAAAAAATGTTTTTGATTCCGTATGATCTAATTATTTTCAAATTACGTTGTGACTTTAAGATTTGTTTCTCTTCGTTTAAGTTTTTTTTTTTCAACTAGTGTTCGAATATATGATTTATTAATTGGTACTTACGATTGAGAAACATTAAAATAAATGTCATCAATAGAATAGAAATGTTTCTTAGAAGCTGCGATTAATGCATTCTTAAAACTTTGAACATCAATGGTGAGTAAATCGTACGCATGAGTATGCCGCACTGAAGGAGGAAATTCGATCGGGTTGTTTAAAATTTTAACACCACGAACTGGACAGCTTTTGGAATTTTTCTTCTCGCAATACACGTACCTAAAAACAGATAAGAATGAAAAACAGATATGAAGGAAAAAGTAATGATATCAAAATTTACAAAAACTTGACAATTTTTAAATTTTATTTAACAAATAAATTTTTTCCGAAAATTTTTTTTTTAAATTACATTTTTTTTTTTCAAAATTTCTAAGTCAATTTTTTTTTTTCATTTTTTTTCATAATTTATTTTTTTTATAATTTATAACTTTTTTTTTATAACAAATAAATTTTTTCCGAAAATTTTTTTTTTAAATTACATTTTTTTTTTTCAAAATTTCTAAGTCAATTTTTTTTTTTCATTTTTTTTCATAATTTATTTTTTTTATAATTTTAAAAATTATCAAATATTTGCTTAGTTCATTTTGATAAAATGTATGATCTAAAAATTAACAGACATGAGACGGATGAACTATTTTAACGAAAATGAAAATTAAAAAAAAACATAGGAGTACCCGTCTTGCTGAATCGTTTCACCAGGCATTTTTTATATTTTATAAAAACTTTGCAGCTCAATTTTTATTTAAATATAAATTTCGATTAAAAATTAATATTTTATAAAAAAATTCGCAATATCGAATTAGTAATAGATGACACGAAATGAATTGCTGTTACTAATTTTAAGCAAGCGCTATCGAATGCGTAATAGATTGCAAGGATTAAAGGCGTCAAGTAAGGAACTTGGCGGTTAAGCCGAAGCGAGCTTCAATTTTTTCGAATAAACTCGAAGCTTGGGTTTATCTATGTGATAGGCTACCGTAGTGTCGTAGTAGTGAAAATGTTATAACTCTTTCTTGCTAACTTTCGCTAGTGTAAGTGTTTTAGTTCTGCCATAAAAAAATCTATCACACAGTAAATCACAGTAATACCTTATATACTATCAATTGTATAATTGAATTTTTCGAAAACTCATGACGAGCAATTGGTAATTATTATAAAATTAAAAGTTCTTATAATAATGTGTTTATTTATAAGTGAGTAATATGCAGATATTTATTATTTAAAAAAAGTTTTATGAATATTTGAAAACAATTAAAAGAAAAAGAAATTTGTTTTAATTGCACAAAAAAAATCCGAACCATTTGCCAAGTACATTTTTTATATTATTATTTCGGTAGTAATGAAAATACAAATGAAATAAAATACAATTAAAAAAATACAAAAAAATTTCTGACGACAGTTACGAATGGTACTAAAATAAATAATGACATTAAAGTTAGCAGTCACTCAAGAATTTTTTAATTTTTTTGAACAAACAAATTTGTTCAAAAAAATTATTTTTAAAAAATTGCACTTTTTATTTTTCAAAATTTTTACGTGAATTTAAAAAAAAAATTTTTTTTGCCATAATTTATTAAAAAAAAAAAAAATTCTAAAAATTATTAAATATGTGCTAAATTTATTTTCTTAAATAAATATTAACTAACAATTTTTGAGGTTTCACAATAAAAAAATTTATAAAAAAAAAATACATGCAGGAATGACAAACAAAACTTAAATGTAAATTATAAAACAAATTTAATTGTTAAAGAAAGATAAACGACGTTAAAATATCTGCTGCCCTCATAATTATATGTATTTTTTAATAAAAAAAAATTTAGTTAATACTTTTCTATTAATTTAGTTGCTGTGTCTCCGTGATTCAAGTGATTCAATCATTCATCAAGTATGGAAAAATTATTTCAGTTTCGGAGCGAAAAAAATATTTTATCACAATTTTTCTTTGATGGTGGACATTGCTACAAACGACGTGATGAAAATGATATGTAAGTGTCCAGCTATAAATTTTACTTTTCATTGTCATTTCATTGTATAGCTTGAATCAGCTGCAACATAGTTTTAAATCATATTTATTTTTGAATACATTAATCTAATTACTTATTTAATATATATATAATAAATTAATTATTTTCTTTTCGCAGATATGTTAAATGTCTCCTGAAAAATAATAAAAAGTGTTATGCACGAGGTGTACTTAACAGAGGAGCACCAATTACTTTGTTGAAAGGTCATAATCATTCTCAAAATCATAATTTAAAGCTGATTTTTGATTTTAAGTACGAACTCTTTAAGGCTGTAACATCTAATTTGTGTGATTTGAGAAGTATTTATGATGAATTAAGTGTTAAGTATGTGTGTATTTTATACTTAAAAAAATATGTTGAAACTTGATTTTCGATAATCTATTCCACAAATTACTAATTTTATTTATGCTTCACGGTAATATTTTAGATACCCCCGAGGTTCTTCTCTTCTGCCATTCTGTCGAATGGTGAGAGTCATGCAGCAGTGGCGAAGGAAGATTTGTCCACCGACTCCTACGTCTCTCGGCGAATATTACTTGCGTCTGAAGCTAAATCGCTGGAAGCACTTATGTAAATCGAATAATAGTAATTTAACAGTCACCAACGTTTATGGCAGAGATGGATCTATTGCTACGGTTTTCATTGATCCTGATTTTTTAGAAAATGTTCAGACTACTAATTTGTACATCGATGCTACTTATAAAGTTTGCCCAACTATGCCAAAAAACATCTATCAGTTTTTTACAATTATGGCATCAATAAATAATTCGGTATTTTCGATTAAAAAAAAAAAAAAATTATTTTAGCATTTGTTTTACAAAAAATTTGATTTGTTGAATATTATTTTTTATTCTAGATTTTGCCTGTTGCCTGGAGTTTAATGTCAAGGAAATCTACAGATTGTTATACAGCTGTCATTGATCACTTTAAATCTTTATCGCAACATATTATCGTATTATCATACATGACAGACTTTGAAGGTGGTCTTCGTAAAGCATTAAAACTCTCGTATCCAAATGCAACCGCTGAATCATGTTATTTTCATTTTATACAGGTGAGTTAAATTAATTGAATCTTAAGTTAGTCTCTTTATACTCGTTTATGAAGTAATTTTATGATACAAATTACTAGTAGCACTTTTATTTTACTAGGCTAACATGAAAAAAGCTAAAAAACTTGGATTACTGAAAAAATTAGAAAATTGGGAAGATGGAAGAAAATTTTTTAGGAAGTTATTAGCTTTAGCATTATTACCGAGTACTGACATCATACCAACATTTAACTGGTTACTGGTGATCCGTACACCTTTTTATCTCATTTTCAAAGATTTTATTAATTACTTCGTTGATTACTGGTTGATGACAATTAAACCTGATGGATTTAGTGTATATAAATTAAAAAATCGAACCAATAACTTTACCGAAGCATATCACCGAAGACTAAACAAATTCTTTGGCTTACATCCATCACTGTGGCAATTTACAGGTAATAATTTGGTTATCACTTCAATAGTACGTACACTTTATTTTATTTGAATAACATTATACATCGAAATTTTTAGCAAGTCTAAGAGATTTTCATGATAT